ATGAAATTTCATGAAAAAGCATTTACTACTTAAATTTTCCAAATCGTTTCGATTCTGTTGACACTATTAATTTTTGAAAATATTGACAATCTAAAGAACATTGAGAACTTTCAAAGCATGCATAAATTAATATAAAATGTGGATAAGTATACTAAATTTCAAAGTTCTTATCCAATAGTTGCTCAATAAAACTTTGATTTTCATCTAAATCATGTAAATGATTTATGATTCTGAACATTTTGCGATTTAAGCTATTTTAACATAATTAATTTCCCGAAGAAGTTTGTTTTCGTCCAAAAATCCTAATTACCAATTTTATGGTTTCTCGACGTTTTGGGCCATCTTGAATCGAATGAGACCAAATTTAGAAAAAGTTTTTTTTTTTTATTTTAACCGCCTAAATGAAAACAAAATTAATCACTTTTACTAACCACTTTTGAAAAGGTTTAATTTATAGTAATATTTCTAGCATTATTTCTATAATATATTATAACCTTCGCTGTACTTTTTAGATATATTTTTAGTACATGTATTAGGCAACTAAATTAGATTACAACTACATTATAATTATTTATTGAATTATATTTTCTGAAATTAAAATTAAAGTCTAATTTTTAGGATTTAATAATGTCACTCCGGTTGTATTAAGAGGTATTTGAGTATAAAAATTCAAAAAATAAATTTTCTTTTTTTTTTCATTTTTCACTTGAAATTTTCGGGGAAACTCTCAGACATATACTAGCATCACCTCGAAATTTTAATGTTTACTATTTTTATAAAAAATCAAGAAACAAAAAAGTAGTAAGAAATTGATTCTTTTTATTCAGTCATTATTTTGTCGAAGATTTATTTTTTAACTTAATCCTAGAATATACCATAGCGACATCATTCTAGATTAATTATCTCTTTTTTTTCATATCGGATTACCATGAGGGTTGCAATAGTCGGCGTGGTCACTTGTCAAATTTTTGAGACCCACCACCATCAACCACTGCTAATTTTTAAAAATATTATCTTTTTTTGTTTTAATTTTTTCTGTACTCTTGATGAAGAAATTATAAAAAAATTATAGTTTAAAAATTTATTGCCTTTTTTACGATGATTCAAAAATGACCTAGAATGCCTCTAAACTAGAATACCCCCTCTCGAAGAATTTCATTTTCATTCATTTCATCAAATGTTTTCGGAAATGATAATTTCCGGAGACGTGGGCTAAGAATTCTAGTCTCTAGGACAGGATTCTTTCATGGAATTCAATTACCCATGGGACTAACAAGTAAGTAAAGTTCCCTCACTGTCACGGTCAAATCGATTAGTGTAGAGACAGTAATATGTACGTGCATTTTATATTTATCGTTGACGGACGACTAACTATTCCACAAATCAACCGGTCAACAATGCATCTAATCACCTTGTCACAGGTGGTCGTTGATGATTGCATGTTCGTGCATGTCATTTTTTCTCTGAGGTCTTTCATAAATCGATAAAACTGGAACTGTACGTAACTCTGAGTAATAACATAAATTTTCGCGTAAAACTAGAGTTTGTAACGCATAGTGGAAATGACATAAAAAGAAATAGATTATTATACACATCTCTTTTGGCTTATCAGATTTTTTATATAAAGCAGCAACCAAAACTTAACAAGTCCTTTGAGCCGTAATTCAGCCTTTTTTTTAATAATGTAGCTTTATAGATGGCAACCCAAACGGTTATATGTACTATTCATTATCTACATATATATAAAAATAAGTCAGGTTTTCTTTCCTGACGATTTAACTCCAGAACGCACGAACCGATTTCGACAATTTTGCATTCGTTGGAAAGGTCTCGGGCTCCGCAAGGTTTATAGCTAAGAAAATTACCGGTGCATGGCATCGTGCTTTAATGCAAATTGCTAGAACTTCATGCACTGTAATTAAAAATTCGAGTAATGACATTAGTGATAATTATCATAATTATGCTTGGTTAAGTCAACGAGCAATTCTTGCCAAGAAATATGATGACACGCACTGAATTTTACCCTTCCATCACAAGTTGATGGCGATTTGGTGACATACCAATGATTCTGACTGGTCTTCCGTTTGACTTCAAACGATTGCAATTTCCAGTTCGCCTTGCGTTCGCAATGACAATTAACAAGTCGCAAGGCCAATAGCTTAGTGTTTGCGGAATAAATTTCAAATAGATTATTTATAAAATCATTGTTTTTCACATGGGCAGTTATACGTTGCCTGTTCACGAGTTGGAAAACCATCCGCTTTGTTTGTGTTAACGCCAGACCACAAAACAAAAAATGTGGTTTAACAAAGAGCACTTCAATGAAACGGATAATTTGCGGATTCATTTTCATTTACTTAGAGAAGTTCAACTAAAAAACACTTCATTTTTGTAATCGAAATAAATTCATTACTGTTGTATAATAAAATCAAATTTTTCCTTTTAAAATATAAAACAAACAAAAAATTTCTTCATCTTTCTCACGAAACTATTTATGTTTGCTAGTCTTCTTATATATAATCATACTTAATTCCAACCATTTATTAAAATCAGCAAATTTAAATTATTGTAACAAATATGTGTCTATTTCATTTATCTCTAATTAACGCGCAATTATAAAACCAAAATCCACACTCATAAATTGAACTTTGATCTATTATTTCCAGATAAAATTAGTTCATCCTTACGTACATTTTTTCTAGTTTTATGCAAACCAATTCGAACCAGATGAAAGCAATTAGCAAAACTACAAATTTATAAGTTACATTCGTTGCAGTTTGTTAATGATGATTTATTGTCATCTTACAATATTAAAGACGTCAGCAAATGCATTGTTTCAATCAAACAGGGTCAAGTTGAGCACATCAATATAAGAGACTTCTACAAAGCCGTACAATTTAAATTGCAATCTTTGATAGAGATGCGGTTAATGTTGTGCAATTATGGTGATCAGGAATAAAACATAGTTACTGGACAAAGTCAGTGTCTATATAAGCTAGCCTCGATACACAATGATATTCAAATTACAATATTGAATTATAGCAACTATTTAATAATAAAATTACATGCAATAACTATTTATTACATATTGCAACAAATTACGTATGAAACATGATGCTGACTGTGACATGGATAAAAAAGATAAATTACAAAAGATGTATTTCTTAAGATGAAATGGGTAACTTGATCGAACATATATGGATAAAAGTATTAAATATGTATGATACAGCTACAAAAATGAGTGAAAGATGACATGAAAATGACAAGAAAGATTAATATTTGCAAATTTCGTACTCTGGTCCCTACAATTAAATGTAGGGTACCCATTAAATTCCTAATACGACAGCAGGGCATTTCTGAATTTCAATGTCCTGTTTCAAAAATAAACGAATCATTTCGTTATCAAATTTACCTCGTGCTTCCGAACGCAAACTGTTCTAAATTCGTGAAAGAATGCAGAAAAAACATTAATTTTAGAAAAATAAAGCCTTGGAACGCGGTGTCGGTGGTTATCTGAGTATAGAAACATCGCACACAGGTTTACAGAAACATTTTTTTTATTTTAGAGATTATAAGACAGACAAAGTACATAAGATACATCTTGCGTCATTAAAAAATTTATTGAATCGAACGCCCACGAAGCAGAAGATATTAGCACAGCGCCAGAAGTGACCTTCCTCAACTAAGCCCAAAATAGAATATAGTACATAGATACTTGTCATGGTAAAAAGACATTTGTGTTCCCAATTTTGGTAAACTTTTGAATGAACAGAAGCCAATAATTATCTAGTATACATTTATTGAAATTATTCTTTTAGTATAACTTATTGCATAACATAAACTGTATTGGTTATTAGTTGTGCACCTATAAAGTGCCCAAAGATGAATTTTGACTATATAAATTACAAAATAGAGAAAAGGAGTGTATTTTTATTTAACAAAGGACTCTAGATTTCGGATAACAAGTATATATGTAGTAACAAAGAAACTACTTGAAATCTATATTTAATATCGATCACAAATAGTATTATCTTAGTCGAGGTATTAATAATCTATTTCCTTTTAGTTAAATACAATGGGAATAACAGATGTTATCATTTTAAGAATGTTTATTATAAATTCATTTATTCTGAAATCTGTGAATGAATACAAAGAACAGAGATTGAATATTTAACAATGTACACTACCAAGTGTTAGGTTTCAAGAAATGTTCATTTGCCTTGTTATATTGTAGGAATATTTGTACTTTATTATATTATAAAATAACAGTAAGATTCTCTTATAAAACAATAAATGAAATATAGACAGTATGTTGTTATAAATGTACAAGTTCAAAACAGCTCTTTATCAATCGACATGTAATAATGTAGATACTTGTACTCCATATTAAATTTCGATCATCAAAAATTATATCTCTTCTTAATCTAATATGCTTCTATTTGTTTTTTTTTTAGTCGAATAGAATGACAATAATGATCAACTTTAATTTGAGAATTTGGAACAACAAAACGATGGTTTCGAGATAAATGTGCTTGTTGTCCTGTAGCGATACAGAAACTTAATCTGTTATAAATTAACAGTAACATTTTTGTTTAAAAACCTTTGGAAAAACCAATAAAACAAACCATAAAATACAGTCTACAATAAAGAGGACATGTGTATCTTAATTTCAATTTACAATTTCATAAAGTATAATAAAGTAGATACTCGTGTTCCATATTCCAAGCCAATAATTAAAGGTATCACTCTTTAATAGAATGTGTTGTTCATATTCTTCTTTTAAGTTATATGGAATGAGAATAATTATAGTCTTCATATTTAGGATTTTAGAACAAAATTATGGTTTCAAGATGTGAGTGCTCGTGCTTCTAAGTAGCCTTTAGCAATACTTTACTACTTTAATCTGTTACTAATATTGAACAGTAAAATTCTTAAACAAATACCTTTGGAATAAAAAGTATATAAAATTCAATATATAAAGCATATCTCAAATAACTTACCATATACATAGGGTACTTTTCCTGTATCATCAGGCATTTTTGTATGGAAAATTCTAAAACTGCACAATGATGTTATTAAACACAACCTAACCTAACAAATTACATTCATGTAATTTTAGATTTTTATGACGTCGCTACAAAAACATTTTATTTTCACTCCTTATTACTCATGAACTAATTGCATACTAATAACTACTAACATTTTATCTTTCTTTTACATTATTAACTCAGTAAAAACATTTTATTTTGAAGAGTTTAGACACGATTTTGACATTTAACCAACTTTTTATTTATTGGCGCTGGTAGCGCTCTTTTTTATTCACGTCGTTTTTGTGAACTAATTCTTTGTCGATAAAGCAGATATCTTAACGGCTAAAAATTTAAAATATACATTATAATAGTAATACAAAATTAAATTACTAATTAACATTTTTCATTTCAGATTAAATTTTAAAATAATTAGAAATAAAAATGTCGACCAAAGACATACAAGCTCAGACAAATGGGGATGCTGACATGTAAGAAAATGTTTATTTGAATATTAATTCAGAATGGTTCCAATTAATTTTAATATTTTATTCCTTTTTTCAGACCTCAGAGGCGACCCCAACATAGGGGATGTTGTAGCAAAATGTTATATTTTTTTAAAGTTTATTGGAGAAGTTTTGTAATAGTATTAGCACCAATATTATTAACCCCGGTCTTTCTTGTAAATAATGAACCGGTAAGTCATTTATAAATAATGCATTAAATGTATCATTTCAAATAATTTTAATTTTGTTTTAGAAATTCCGGTGCATGTATGTAGTTATGTTAATGTCTGCATATTGGGTTACGGAAGTTTTACCTCTACCAGTCACAGCTATGTTGCCAATGGTTCTATTTCCAACAATGGGAATTCTGGTAATACATAAATCCATTCATTCTTTTATTACAATACAAGACAAGATACAAGTAACAAAATACTCATTTAATTCAGAACTTTATAATCTGGACACATCTCCACTTAATGGACATGGACCTTTCGAATTAAATTTTATCAGAATAATTTATGTTATTTGTTATTTTTAGGGAACTGATAGAACATGTATGATGTACATGAGAGAAACAAATGTGATGTTCATTGGAGGCCTGATTATTGCCTTGGCCGTAGAACATTGTAATTTACATAAACGTCTTGCCCTTAAAGTCATCTCAATCATTGGATGCAGTCATAGAAGGTTAGTATTGTCTCAAAATAGAGCGCACTGTACTCCACTGCTTTCTTCGATAAGTCATAGCCAAATATCTTAATTCTTATGAGTATTTTTTTATTTACAGATTAAATTTTGGTCTAGTCGTTGTTACCATGTTTGTCTCCATGTGGATTTCTAACACAGCTGCTGTAGCCATGATGTGTCCAATTATGCAAGCTGTTTTAGAAGAATTGGAAACGGTAACAAAATTTAACAAAACACTTGATAGTTCAGAATGTTTCAATGTTTTCCTATATTTCAGCAAGGACTTTGTGAAATGTACATTAAAAAGAAGAGCACTCCAGAATCCGAAGAACGTATGCTGCAAAGCAATGAAGCTACTGATGAGTACGTAAAATTTATATATTTTTATTGAAAAGTGATTAAATCGACCATTGAAAGTTTAATTATCAAATTAATCATTTATTCCCGCAGGCCCAAACGACCATCCAAAACTACTTTATGTTACTTCATGAGCGCCGCATATGCATCCACTCTGGGAGGTGTCGGAAGTATTGTTGGTTCCGGAACCAATCTCACATTCAAGGGCATTTATGAAAGGTAATTCGAAATTAAATGTTAAAAATATTGTTATCTAATAAATATTTTTTGCAGTCGATTCCCAGACGCTCCAGGAATCGATTTTCCCAAGTGGATGTTCTACAATGTCCCTGGTATGTTGATCTTCACTTTCCTCACCTGGGTTTATCTACAATGGCTGTACATGGGCATGTTCAGGTAAATGAAACATAAAGTTTGAACAGATTTTATGTAATAATACATATCAACTTAACTTTTGCACTGCACTGCTCTATTCTTTGGTATGTATGTCAGAAAATGAATTTAATTCCTTCTTTGTTTATTGCAGACCTAACAGTGTTGAAGCCAAGCAAGCAACTTTATCAAAAGAAGGAGAACGTGTAGCCCGTAGTGTAATTGAAACAAAATACAAAGAATTAGGACCTATGTCTGTCCATGAGAAACAAGTAGGATTTTTGTTCTTATTGTCTGTAGCATTATTCTTTTTCCGTGCTCCTGGATTTATCACTGGATGGGCTGAAGCTATCACCGACACGTGGGTTCAAAACAATATTTATGCTTTTCTGCTTTCACACATCATTAACCATTACATTTATTATTTCAGTAAAGTGAAAGATGCAACACCAGCTATTTTCGTTGTGATCATTCTCTTCATGTTACCACAGAATTTGGATTTTCTTAAATTCTGCAGAAGCAAAAAAGGCGAGAAAGGTAAATAATAGATTTATCTAAAAATCTTCAGGATTTAAAATGATCAAATGCTTTAACTGGTATTTATTTGTGACCATTTTAGGTGAAATTGAACCATTGCCAACTAAACCTGCCGGAGCTCTCATTACATGGAAGTATGTTTTGGCTAAAATTCCATGGGGTCTTATTTTCTTGCTTGGTAAGAATATTATCTTGAATAATTTTAAGTAGTATATGATTAGTTAGAAGTACTAATTAAAAGTAAATGAAATTTTCTTTGCGTTTATTTTCGCATATTAGTTGAATAAAATATTGAACTTAATTTTAAAAAATTTTGCTAAAATGATTATCAATCTTAGTTGGCTTAGTAATTTTTGAGAAATTATAATTGACTATTTATTTTCTAACTAATAGTTTTGAATTCAAAATTTTACAGTTTATAAGAAATAACTTTCATAAAGACTTTGTTTTTAAAAAGAATGCTTTATCCCCTTAACATATATTATTTATCAAGGTGTTGATATATATTTTATCAGAAGCCCCAACACAATTTGTTTTATCTTGTATTTATTTTCTTCCAGGTGGTGGTTTTGCATTAGCAGAAGGCAGCAAGGAATCCGGAATGTCAGAATACCTAGGTCAATGTTTGATCGGCCTGAAACAACTGCCACCACTTTTGTTGCTCTTCGTAATCTGTCTGACTGCCGAATTTCTGACCGAGTTTTCATCCAACGTTGCCATTGCCAACATCATGTTGCCGGTTCTAGCAGAAATGGTAAGTTAATAAATTAACATTCTATGTTGCTGAAGAAGTTATTTTGTTAATACCTGTATTTAAATTGTTTTTTCATTAGTCTGTAGCGATAGAAATGCATCCTCTTTACTTGATGTTGCCTGCAGCATTATGCTGCTCCATGGCCTTCCATATGCCAGTGGGTACTCCACCGAACGCTATCGCCGCCGGAATGTGCAACATATCAATAGGAGACATGGTTTGTACATAAATACAGCAAATAAATATTCTCTTAGTTTTCTTACCCATCTATCATCTATCCCTCTATTACAGGCCAAGGCTGGCATAGGACCATCAATCGTCACATTGCTCGTGATCTGGGCCAGTTTCCCAACCTGGGGCTCCGTTGTCTACCCCGAATTGGTCACCTTTCCCGCATGGGCCACACCAAGAAACGTTACAGCAGGATTTTAAAAAGACTCATTCGAAACTCTCTCAAGTACAATATCGTTTGAGATTAAATATATAAGTAAATTATTGATCACAATTATGGCATAGATCCAAAGCCCGCCAATTGTTATTAAAGATGTTTCAACTTTCTTCTATCATCATTTATAAATATTCTGATGCTTTACTTCAATGAAGTGTATTTGCATCATTGTATCTGCATTTTATTTAAATATGTTCGGAATTGTTTTCTGAGATGGATATTAGGATGACAGTACTAATTCTCTAGGTTAATTAGTAGAATCGTGTTTAATATAATTAGTTTATTATAATTAATCGTGGCTTATTAATAGCAATGGTTTCACACAATTTATAGGCATTGAACAAGTTATTTAATTCCGAAATATTTTTGTATAGTAATTTAGTAAATATATGACAATAATTATTTAGAAGTAACTTAAATCTATATCTATCTAATCTCGTTATTGTAAATAGTATATAAAAACCAATCATTCTTATAAAAATAATATGTCGTGCATATGTTTTTAGAAGAAACTATTTTTACATAATGATTATAAACTTCTATATTTTATAAGAATATGCATTAAAAATTTATTTAAATAAAATTTTATAGGAGTGTGTTTAAGTTTTAAAAAATAAAGTCAATATGTTTATATAAAACTATATACACTTGTTTACTTTATAACTATTTCTTCTGAACTGCAAAATCCAATCACACTTTAACGATTTATATAAATATAATATTTGAGCAATAAAATTTAGATAATTTATGGCTACAGTCAGCTAATTGGGTTGCAACTAATAAATCAATTTATAATAAAAAAAATATATTTTATGGGCACCAAGTTAAACATTATTAAGTATATTTATGTATTTTTCATACAATTCTTTTATCAGAAACTATTTCTATTCCACTATAAATGTTTCAACTGATTATAAAACTTCAATACAAAATTAAAAGTAAATACTGAAATGATTGAAAAATACATTTTCAAAGTTTTCATATTATATATGTGTGCGAGCACTATACAGGTACTCAGATAATTATTTTTTTTAAAATAATGAGTTATTTTTTAGACTGAAATTTTTAGGTGACTGCGGAAACTTCGACATGTGATGATTTGCAAACTCCTGTAAGTATTTGATATAAATTATTTTATATGTATATATATATATACATACTTATATATATATATATATATATATATATATATATATATATATTATATTTTATATATATATATATTTATTCCTTCAAAACCAATGGGAATCTACTAAGATTCCTAAGTTCTAAAGGCGAGTGCTTGCAGCGCCTCTATGCCAAATCGTTCCCAATTCCTGAGGAACTACTGGGTTCATATGAAACTAAATCCGGTACGGTATAATTATATATCTAGTCGCGTATAAAGCGATATATAAATGTATATATTGATATTCCTTCAAAACCGGGACCATAATTATATATCTAATGGCGTATAAAGCGATATATACATGTATATATTGATATTCCTTCAAAACCGAGGCCATAATTATATATCTAAGGGCGTATAAAGCGATATATATATGTATATATTGATATTCCTTCAAAACCGAGGCCATAATTATATATCTAAGGGCGTATAAAGCGATATATACATGTATATATTGATATTCCTTCAAAACTGAGACCATAATTATATATCTAATGGCGTATAAAGCGATATATACATGTATATATTGATATTTCTCTTAAGCCGGGACCATAATTATGTATCTAATGGCGTATAAAGCGATATATAAATGTATATATTGATATTCCTTCAAAACTGAGACCATAATTATATATCTAATGGCGTATAAAGCGATATATAAATGTATATATTGATATTCCTTCAAAACCGGGACCATAATTATATATCTAATGGCGTATAAAGCGATATATAAATGTATATATTGATATTCCTACAAAACCGAGGCCATAATTATATATCTAATAGCGTATAAAGCGATATATACATGTATAATTGATATTCCTTCAAAACCGGGACCATAATTAAATATCTAATGGCGTATAAAGCGATATATACATGTATATATTGATATTCCTTCAAAGCCGAGACCATAATTATATATCTAATAGCGTATAAAGCGATATATAAATGTATATATTGATATTCCTTCAAAACCGGGACCATAATTAAATATCTAATGGCGTATAAAGCGATATATACATGTATATATTGATATTCCTTCAAAGCCGAGACCATAATTATATATCTAATAGCGTATAAAGCGATATATAAATGTATATATTGATATTCCTTCATAATTATATATAAATTCCTTTAAAGAAATCCAATGGGAATCCACTAAGATTCCTAAGTTCTTAAGGCGAGTGCTTGCAGCGCCTCTATGCTAAATCGTTCCCAATTCGTGAGGAACTAACGTTGACAGTTCTTGCGTAAGAAGGAATCCAATAAGATTCCTATGTTTCTAAGACGATTGCATGCAGCGCCTCTATGCAAAAATGTTCCCAATTCGTGAGGAACTACGTAGTCACTACCGGGTTCATATGGTTCTGTGTTAGATGGCGCCACCGACCTAAACGTCTGACGTGTTTTGAATTGGCGAAAAACCGTGGATATATCCAAGACATTTTCACGATATTGAAGAGAGTGAAAAATCTTTAGTTCATGATATTTTTTATATTAAAACAACACTAATATTGTTCGTTCGTATTCCAGAATAGAAAATGTCAATTAGCAAGCACAACCCACGGACTACCAACTTTACTTAAAGCAATCCAGGAAATAGCTCAAAACGATTTTTGGCAGAACTTGGAACTTAGTTTCATTGGCGAATCTAAAGGACTACTGTGGGAAGATACATTTGATAAAGAATTTCGTAACATTAGTGTAAAATTAATCTAACAAGTAAGTTAGGGAATACAATAGAATATATATATATAGACAACAAATGGCTGCAAATCAACATTTCAATAGAATATATATATATATATATATATATATATATATATGTATATATATATAATCAATAAATATGTATATAAATAAACTAGATATATATTTATCTAAAAATTGTTTTCTTATTACAAAAACACAATATTATTTATGATATAATAGCGATATAATACAAATTCATTTTAAAACAACAGTTATATATGTATTCATTAAATATGCATTGGACTATATTAAATAATAATACTCCTAAGATATTTTGGCAAAATTGTCACATCAGTTTTGTTGATTTAACAAAAATGAAAGTTGAACACTTCAAGTAAAGACAACACATTACTCATGCTCGTCTTAACCCTTGCAAACCTCTGAATGAACTTCCCAAGCATTCACCTAAACATAAAATACAACATATAAAAATATAAACACAGATAATCTATTAACATAGATAGTGGGTTATAATTAGTATACAATACTGTAAAAAGTAAAAACAGAATAAGCCTAAACCCAGTAAAACCATACCTGACATTCTCTCGAACAATACCATTGATTAGCACAGCCTGCACAAACATAATGTGCTTCAGATTTATTACAGCCTTGACAGGCTGGTGGAGTTTCCTCTTCCTCATCTCCATTTTCTTCTGTCACAGCACTTTCACCATTGATATTTATTTCTATATGATGCTCTCCTGAATCTTTTGGCTCTTCTTTTACCTAATAAATAAAAAAGTAATATACATAAGCAATCCAAGAATAATTAATTTATAATTCATTTATTTCTTCACCTCGTTTGATTCAACAGCAGGCCTATTATCTATAGGAGTTATGGTAACTTCATCTGTACATCTTCTTTTACTCCTTTCATTTGTTACAATCATGGTTTTCCTGTTGCTTATATTCCCTCCAAGCCTTTCAGCCAATGTAGATGGTAGGTGATTTATTGATGTATTACTGGAATTTCTTTCTGGGGCTGTCAGCAATCGTGCCAAAGTTGAAGTGTAAGCATTTGAATCAGATGTACTTGTTGTAGTTCGTTGAGACTTCTAGATTATTTTAGAGAGCAGTGAAAAAAAAATTCTCAAAATATATTTTCTGTTTAACATTCTCACCTTAGATAATATACCATGAAGCAAACTTTGCTGCTTTCCAGTGTCTTCTAGATTGCCATTTATTGGATGCAGAGAAATATCACTTGTTCGCGAAATATCATTCATTAAAGATAATGGGATGCCATTATCACTGTTTAATTGGAAATGTTGGTTGCGCAGAAGCACATTATCATTTGATTCAGAACTAGATGGTCTTGATCCCTGAAAAATATTGAATATGATTGTTAGGCTTATATGTATTAGAGAAGTTTAGTATGAATATTTTGTTTTTAAATTGTAAGAACCCTATATATATACCATAATATTTTTTATAGATATTAAAAAAAATAAATGTACAAACCATTTCATTATTAGACAGTAACAGGCCAAGTTCAGAAAGTCTATTAGCATCATTTGCTCCATCAGCAATTCCAACTGTGAAATGATATTTATAATTATCATCACATAAGTATTTTATAAATACAGATACTAGTTAATAATGAACTAGAAAAAAATATTAATACAGATAATAAATATGCTTATAAACAAAATATTCACCATTGTTACTTTGCAATACAGACTTCATACGTCTTCCCCTCTTTGGAACTACTTCCGGATGCTGTTGCCTGTAGTCTGCAATTATAGATTTTACATCTTTGACTAGACCTTGTCGACCATTGATAGGACTGTTCAGTTGCTGGTTGAGCATAAATTGATTATGATTGATATTGCCAAGATTATTAAAATGATTCATTGGACCATTTTTAATAATATTATTGCTATGGGCTTGCGGAGGTAGCTGAATCTTAGCCTACATTAAAAGAAAAAACTTTATAAAACGAGCTAAAATCAAAAAATATAATACAAAACTAATGAACTTACTTGGAAATTGCTCCCACTATTTACTGGTAAAACTGTTACCCCATTATGAACATTATTTGCAAAATGATTAACTTGAGGTTCAATTTTATTAGTGACCTCCCCATTAACAGGCGCTGCATTTGAGAAATAATTTGGAAACATACTTTTTGATAAAATATTTGTTAAACTAACAGCATTGTTAGAACAGTTAGAGTTCAGCCTTGTCATATCATTCAGGTCACTACTCGTATTGTGACCATCATCAACTTTCATACGCATTAACATTACGTCCCTCTTTCTTGACAATCTTAATAATAATTCTTCTTTCGCTTTTTGCAAGTAGACTAACTCATTCCATTCTTGTTCCTTTTGACGTATGAGATCATTCAACTGACGTATTTCATTCATGATTAGTTCCATGTGTTGTGTCTGTAAAAGAATATTTGAGATTATAATTAATTTACATATCTAACTTGTATAGGTCATATATATATTTTGTTACACTTTAATCAGAAAGTCTTATAAATATCTTACCATATGTTTTATATTCTCTTTTGTACTAGCTGTAAAAGATTCCGTTTTTTGGAAATAATCCTTTATTACTTTATCGCGCCTATTGAATGTTTGTTCAATTTGTCTCTTAAATTTTTTAGCTGCGAAAGAAATCTCTTCTTGCTCTCGTAGGTTTCTGTTTGACTTGCGCTTATTTTTTCTATGGGTCTAATAACAAATTATTTAAATTAGTGGACTTAAAAAAAACAATAAATAATAGAAAATACTTACCAGTCTAAATTCTACGCTATCTTGTGAAGATTCAGAGTCTTTATCATCTTGAACACACTGTACATCAGCCGGGTTAATATCAATCATCAGATTGTCTTCATCAGACACTGCTCCGGTTTCGTCCAACGAATTACTCTCTTCCATTAATTTAATTTTTTCGACTAGCGAATTTTTTTCATATGGTTTACTTTCTAACAAATTATCTTTAACTTTAATTTTTGGCACGGATTTTTTGTCATCTTGATCTCCAGAAGCTGCTGGACTATTCTTGACGGTGCAATCCAAAGCCGATTCATCTACAGCATCTGGAAGAAGTATCATATTATAGACCTTTATTTTTGATGGATTTTACCCATAGTTGACGGAATTACCTAAAGTACTAATATCCTCGGCTTTAGCTACCACTTTATCATCATCTTGTTCCATACAGCATTCAACCAAAGATTCGATTCCATCAACTTCATTACCGGAAGCTACATCTTCATCTATTTTTTCGGGCTGCAAGTTACCATCACCGTTGGAACTTCCAATTGCATCTTTAACTAATAAAACTTTGCCTTCCTCTGGCAAAACTTCTTCTTGCGTAGAGTTCAGATGCATCTTTCCCGACGTATTGTCACTGAAAAAAAATAAACAGAATGATAAAATGATAATTGCATTTGTTGAAAATTACGATATGGTTATTGTCTAACTATTGTCTAATAAGGATTCTCCAAAATATGGGTAAATAGTAGTAGAAGAAGCGAAACAATTTGGTCTAGCTGAGACAAATGTAGCAGACGTCGAAAAAATCGAACACAAAATAGCAGGTAGTGTCTCTAATAAGGATATGAAGCAATCAACTGAGTAAGAAGAAAAATATATTAAGGGCTTAGAGGTACTTGGAGGTACGAAAAAATGAGAATTTTCAGTATTGTTTTTTTGTTATTAAACGATGTTTTTTTACAAAATCATTAATACGGCTTCATTATACAATGTTTTGACTTGAAGTAACAAAAATTTCAGGAAAAATATTAATATTCCCAAAATTATAGCTGTTTTTGTCGACCCTGTTTCAAAAAACACTCCTGGCGGTGACCATCATAACTTTTTAGAGATTCATCTAAAATCAATCAAATAAAAAATAGTTTTATAAATAGATAATCCTGGGCCTGATCGAAGGTTTTCTTTTTTTTTGCAAAAATTAACAAAATGGCAGCATCAGAAATAAAATATCTAGATTTTTGGGTAAAAAATCAACAGTTAATTGGTCTTAAAAAATTGAAATTTTTGAAAAAAAGAAAATCCTTCGATCAGGCCCGAGTTTATTATGTATTCTAAAAGCTGTATAAATTTCATTAAAATTTACTAAGCGGTTTTTGAGTTACAGTGGTCACCGGTTCTAAAAACATAGTTTTGAGAAAAACTTCTTCACATTGGATTTACGTACAGAAATTCGAATTATTGAATTACTTAAACCAAGTCATCTATTTCTGGGCCATATAATAGTTCATTAGTCATTGTGCAAGATTCCAAAATTCCCATTTGCTGTTGGCTACGAAGTATTCTGGCCCCCCGAGTGTTCGCGTTGGCGCGCTGATCTGCCACTTTCACACGTGCAGCATCCAATTTTTCAGCATACCGATGGGAAATATATCCACAATTAGGTCCTAGGGTATCCATAATCAATAATAATGATTATGTTTATGTATTCAGCAATTTGTACGATAGTAGAACTAGTATTCACTGTTTTTAGGCATATTTTTTACACTAGTTGGTTGAAGCTTTTAATTTTTTCTGATTATGGATTCAATCTTGAACTACACATCTTGAAAGTAAATTATCATTGCTGAGATCGTCGTAAATCGGTTTAAAAGCATTTAAAACATCATGAGGTGAGGGAGAATAATCTTGAGTAGAAGTATCAAGCTCTCCACTTGCGTCAGCGCGCTGGTAAGAGTCCAATAACTCAAAAAGTAATCATCGGATCACCTTGAAATTTTCAGAGAACATTTTCAAGATATTACACTTAATGAAAATGCAAAGAAATAAAAATTGATTTTTCAAAAATTCCAAGTACCCCTAACCCCTTAATAGTAGTGCAAAAACCAAAAACATATTAGGTTGTCAAATATCTCCCTTCCGCTTTTTTGCTCTTGGTTTATAATACAAAAAGGCGGAAGGGAGATATTTGACAACCTTATATTTCAATGATCTTTGATCACAATAAGAGATTAACAAGAATTAAATCAAAATAAGGCAGAGTCTATCAGCAACTTCTAATAAAAGAAAAACGCAAACTGCATTACAAAACAATAAGATAAACTATAACAAGAAAAATATTTTCGTTAAAATATTGACAATGTGACCTGATATCAATATCGACGGATTGAGGGGCGACTGACGGTGTAGGTTTCTTGCACTATACTTTAAAATAGTATCTTTAAAAATATCATGATTTACTTGTTTTTTAGGAGATTATGGTGGACCTTTTTACCCCGCTTTATGCAAAGTGCGTTTAATCAGATTACTATTATTATCGTATCAGGCGTTCCATCAGCCAAGGCTCTTGGTTCGCTCGCGGCCTATTTCGGTTCGAAATTTCATTTCGAAAACCGTCCAAGGCCGTTTGATCGGTCCGGGGAAGGTCACCGTCCCATCGTCAGAGTCGGACTCCGAGTCGGAGTAGTCTATGTGTGTTTTCCTCGGGCCCAAGGCGACAAGAATTGCACTGCGGATCGTCCTTTACTCGCAATTCGGCCTTGGCGATACATGGCGCGCCGTATTAGTTCTCTGATATATACAATATACTCGCAATTCGCAAATAAGAATGTTACCGAGGTCGAATCAACGAGCCGCATGTCGCTCCTGATTGGCGTCACTTGGAAATTGATAAGGAAAACTGTACAGAGTCACAAACATTCATAGTAGCATAGTTTGATATCGAATTTATCATTTTAATTCAATAAACATAACCAAGTGATTATTTCCGTATAAACCATCAAAACAGACTGAGAAACCAGGCCAAGCCCATTTACATGAGAAATAAAATTAAATATATATGTTACCAAAACTATTTTTTTTTAAATTTCACGAATAGCAAACAGAACTATTCATATACTAATTGTCCATTCTCAAAAGATTATTATTAGATAATTCTGCAAGTGATGTAATACATATTTTGCAGTAAAGCCTCGTGAAGCTATTTTGACCACTTGAAATAATTATTAGATCTATATTTTCAAATGGAAACATATCCCTACTGCCTAATATAAGGTTGTCCGAGGAGTATATACATTGAAAAGATTCATTAAGGGAGTATTCTAGTGTAGAAATTCAAAAAAATCTATTTTTTTTAAATTTCATATTTTAAAAGTTCAACTATCTAAGAATATGGGTACGAAAACTTGAATTATTTTTGGAGATATAGGCAATTTACTGACTCGGCCTCCATACTGGTTTGGCTTCACGCAAAACTTTAAATGCGCTTTTCTCAGAACAGACTTTTTCAGTACTGTTGACACGATTTCTAGAATTTTAATCGACCGATTCACTTGAAATGTTCAGATGGTCTTGTTTATAGACCTATCTATAGCCCGAACTAGGATTATCCCAAAATTCCAATTTTTACTATATTTAAGAAATTCGAGAAACTCAAAAAAACAGTCAAAAAACACTTTTTAAGAAATAGTCGCCAATTTGTAAAAAAAATATTTTACTCATTCTATCAATGATGTCGAGCGATTGCGGCATCATTGTAAATTAATAATCTTTTTATTTTTTGCATTTCCGTTGGCTATGAGGGCTGAAATCATGTCAAGACTGAGGTGCCAATTTTTTGAGACCACCCACTTCATCAGGTGCCAGTTTTTACAATTTTGAACTTTTTTATTTTAAAATTTTTGTTTTGTTTTTTCATAATATTAATGAACAAGTGGTGAAAAAATGGATAGTAAAAACATTAATTGCTTTCTTTTACGACACTTTAAAAATTACCTAAAATTCATCACTCTACACTAGAATACCCCCTTAATGAATCTCTTCCGATATGTGAAAAGATAAGACTTTTAGATTTATACTTCTTGGGCAATATTCGTTTTGCTTGCATTTATTTTAAGGGTGAGTTACAAACATTTTGATATTAATATGGACTAGATGTACTAAACTTTTTACTTATTTCTTAACTTGTTTTCTCAATATATAATAGCAAAAATAAAACCTGCAACCAAGTGGTTGAAAGCCAAAGCTCTTACCACTTGGTCCATGAACAAAACCAACTCTTATATTCCAAAAATCTCCTGATATAATCCATTATTCATGTTTTTATTATATTTCCATAGGCTATCCCTGGTTGTTTACAATGCCTTTCGATAAAATGACGTAAAAGTAGCGATAGTGTACACTTTTATCAGAAGTAAACAAATAAAAATATTCTTTAAAGCTTAAAGTAAATATAATACATCGATCAATTGGTTCCACTTTCGAACTCTGAAAACATGTACATATATTTTAAATTTTATTATCATTCATATGTATTATTTCATATTTGAGCACCAATCCGAACTGTGTTCTATAAACTTGTGATGTTATTATCTGAACTTAGTGTTTATAGAAGGCAACCCCGTAGACTGGCAATTATCTTGCTGATGAAATTATATTAGATATATATCTAAAAGTGATGTGAATATATATTGGAGGAATGACCCGTAAGGCAATTTGATCTGAATCTATAATATCGTAAAACCTGATATCACTACTAATTGATGCAATCTAGCTGAGGTGGGCATCGAACCCGGAACCAGTGTTGCTAGACCACGTTCTTACTGGGGATCCAATATAGAGACTTTGGGTGATACTTTTCAAATATCTAAGGCTTAGTTAGTAACTATTGATCTTCTTTTATAAATATTCCTCTTGTTTTTTTTAGATGGTTTATAAAACTTTCACAAGGTTCCCTACGATCAGAAGCATATTCAATTATTAATCTGTTGCAAATGCAAAATAATATATAATAATCATAGTAAAAAATCTGCTTCCATAAATATATATAAAGCAAGTAATTTTATATCGGGTAAATTGCTAATGCAAAAATATTTATACGTTGATAAATGGAAATAAGTGTGTACAAGTAGGAAAATATGAATCCACATTTAATATTTCAAACAACCTCGTGGGTTAGTGTAATAAACGTATATAGGCGCAAAACGAGGTCATTGTAACATATATAAGATCTCTGCTTGATATGAGATGTTGCATAAAACCTTGAAAAATCAGTGGCGCCTTCAACAAATAACGAAATCAAATAACCAACGGATGTACCAGATAGAAACTGAATGACTTTGACAGCATAATAATAGCAAGTATAAAATTTAAAGCCAATTTTTCAAAAATATTTACATGTTTAAGATTTGTTGCCTATTTGTTCTAGCTACACTTCTCACCACCAATTCCAATCCTTCCTGCCATGTCCCATTTTTTTTATATGCCACAATTTTTCTATTATTTACAATATCATATATTATAATTAATTTCAAAGATTTATAGTTTATTATATTATTGAATAATTGTAATATCAATTAGATAGATGTGCAAAAATACTCTTTTTCATATATTATTGTAAATAAAGTGTTTATAAAAAAA